GTGGCTGGGCCCGCCTGGGGGCAGGCCTGGCCTTGCCATGTGCCTGCCGCCCCGGCAGGGCTAAGGGGACTGGGCGCTGCTATCTTTGAGGCGTGACAGTCAATTAGCATATTCCCTCATTGGCTGTGGGCACCGCCATCTTTGAGGGCAGGGAAGTCAATCCCTCTTTATTAGATAGGATGTTTGTTAGAAACTTCTCAGTTTCCTGTTCTGTCAAGTCCAGCATCCAAGTCTGGTCCAGTTCTGAAGTTTCCTCATCGCTGAGGACTTCCTTATGCTCTATGAGCTTTCCTCCCCCTGTGTGCCTGTAACCGGGTAGACTGGAGAGTCCTTGAGGCCTGGGTTGAAGGTGGATTCCTTCGGAAAGTGTTGGTCTTTGCTTTTAGGAGGTGTTTAATATTAGTTACCAACTCAAGGCCAATATATGTTTACCGTTTTTACTGCAAAGTATAACACACACACAACTCATTGGATTATCTCAAAAGTGCATCTTAATGAAGTACCATGAAGCAAATGCCCAGGAGACAACCAGCTGCAGCCAGAAACACCACTGCCAGCACCTGGAGCCCCTCTCCCTGGCCAGTACCCTCGACCTTCTCCCCCGAGTCACTGCTAATGTGAGTTTTACAGAAATTACTCCTTAAAGTTTAATTAGAAGAACACACAGCCTGACTATAGAATGTCGTTCTGCCTCTGAACGTGAAGCAGGTGGGATCATTTGTGTTTTTTGGAGGTGGGTGGCCTTGATTTGTTCATGTGCAGTTGTTCGTCTTCCTTGCTGTGTAGTATTTCATTAATGAATATGCTTCTGTTTATGCTCTCGGTCATTATGTGTTTTGGCTAATAGCCAAAAGCGAACATTGTGTCTGTCTCTTCTGGTGCAGTTTTGCTCACATAGCTAGCTAGTGGGCATATATTTCAATGTGAAATGACTGAGTCTTAGGGTATAAGCATCTGGGAAAAGTCAAAAATATGTAGAAATTAACACTTTTAAACAACCAGTGGATCAGAGAAGAAATCACAAAGGAAAGTAGAAAATACCTTGAGAAGAATGAAATGAGAATGCAATGTACCAAAGTGTATGGGATGCAATGAGACCAGTGCCGGGGGTATTATAGTTGTAAATGTCTACATCAAAGCAGATTAAGTCAGCTTTCTAATTGTGTGCCCAAGGAACCAGAAAAAGAAGAGTAAACCAAACCCAGAGCCAGCAGAAGGAAGGAAGTAATAAAGATTAAAGCAGGGATAAATGACATTGAGGATAAGAAACTAGAGAAAATCAAGGACAACAGAAGTTGCTAAATTGACGAACAGAAGACTCAAATTATTAAAACTAGTGAAAGAGCACATTATTAAACTTTGCAGAAATAAGAAAGGTTAAAAAAGACTACTATGAATACCTGTATGCCAATAAATTGGGTAATCTAGGTGAAATGGACAAATTCCTAGAAGCAAACTACAAAAGCTGACTCCAGAGCAAATAGAAAATGAGCAGACCTGCAAGAAGTGATATTTAAACTACTCAAAATCCCAAGCAATAAGAGCCAACAACCAGATGGCTTCACTGGGAAACTTTACCAAACATGTAGAAAAGAATGAACACTACTCTTTCCCACATTCTTCCAAAAATGTTGAGATGACAGGAGAACACTTCCTAACTCATTCTGTGAGGTCAGTGTTATCTTGATACTGAAGCCACACACAACTCAAGGGAGAGAAAAGTGCAGAGTCATATCTTGTGAACATTGAGGCAGAAACCCTCAGCACACAGCTAGCCCCGAATTCAGCAGCAGTAAGAGGGTTACACATCGGGACCACAAGGGCTTTCTCCCAGGGATGCAGGAAGGGCCCAGCCTCTGAAAACCCACCCAGCACGCTGCCTGAGTAGAGTGTGGAGGGGAAACATGACCATCGCAGCTGATGCAAAAAGAGCATTTGATAAAATCAAATTTTCATGATAAAAACAGACCAAGGATCGAAGGAAAGTACCTCAACATAATAAAGGCCGTTTATGTAAAGCCTGTAGCTAATGTGCTCGAAGGTGAAAGAATGCAAGCTTCCCCCCGAAGGTCAGGAACAAGACCCAGAGGCTCACTTTTATCGTTTCTATTCATAATAGCACTGCGGTCTCTAACCAGAGCAATGAGGCAAGAAAGAAGTAAGAGGCATCCAAATTGTAAAGGAAAAAGGAAAAGCAACTGTTTGTAGAAGACATGGTCTTATATGTAAAACCCTGAAGAACCCACAGTACACACAGACAGCTGTTAGAGCCTGCAAAGGAGTTCAGCAAAGTTGCAGGATACAAACTTACAAATCAATTGTATTTTTATACACTATCAATAATATGAGAAAGCCCGGCTGATGTGGCTCAGTGGTTGAACCAGGAGGTCACAGTTCAATACCTGGTCAGGGCACATGCCTGGGTTGCAGGCTCAATCCCCAGTGTGCAAGAGGCAGCCGATCAGTGGTTCTTTCTCATGGTTGATGTTTCTACCTCTCCCTCTCCCTCGCTGAAATCAACAAAGAATAAAAACTGTGGTGGTAGCCTGAGGATGAACAGACAGGCCTCACCCCAGACCAATGGAATGAGAGTGAGAGCCCAGAAATAAACCCTCACCTCCATGGTCACATGATTTACACCAGGGCTTTAAGACCACCCAATGGGGAAAGAAAGTTCTCTCCAACAAATGGTGCTTGGAAAACTGGATATGCACATGTATGAGAATGAAGTTGGGTCCGGCCAGCATAGCTCAGTGGTTGAGTGTTGACCTATGAACCAGGAAGTCACGGTTCGATTCCCAGTCAGGGCACATGCCAGCATTGTGGGATTGATCCCCAGTCGGGGGTGGGCAGGAGGCAGCTGATCAATGATTCTCATCATTGATGTTTCTCTCCCTCTCCCTTTCTCTCAATTCAATAAAAATATATTTAAAAAAGTGAAGTTGGGTCTTTAAGCCATAGGCAAAATGGATCAAAGACCTAGATTTGAGTCAAAACTATAGAATTCTTAGGAGAAAACAGGCAAATATTCCTGACCTTGGATATACCAATGGTTTTTTTTTTTTTAATCTTTATTATTGAAAGTATTGCATATGTACCCATTTTCCCCCCATTGACCCCCTCCAGCCTGCCTCCCCGCCCCAGGCTTTCACCACCCTATTGTCTGTCCATGGGTTATACATATATGCATACAAGATCTTGGTTGATCACC